CCATTGTTTTGAGCAGTAACAACAAAAGTCCTGACTTTTAACAAAAACATCTTTAGAAATCAAATGTCTATTTGCCCACTAACTAAACTCATTTGACAGTATTAATTGTTGGGGTGAGGGGTAAGTGTTCTCGGATTAAGTGTCCTGATACCGATTAACACTTTAGTTTTAACTGCTGGAGTGACCCTTGTTTTAGAGCACTTCTTATAATACAGTAAAATAGTCCTCCAGTTGTGTACCAGAAGAGGACGTATATCGAAGCAAAGTACCGTTCGATTTAAACCCAAGGCAGGATGATACAGTTCCTCTGAACAGCGAGGAAATAACCAGCAGACTGCAGGTTAGACGGGAAGCCACAGGTCGATGGGATGTTTGCTCTCGTCACTTCAACGGCACATTTCTCTGCCTTCCTGTAAMCTCCTGTTGATTGGTATGTTTGCTTTGGCCCGTTGGCCAGGATGTGACAGCCATAACTGTACCCTCTCCCTCATTTACTACATATTGATATTATTTTACAGGCCAGCTGAGGTCAGCGCGTTAAAATCCAAATATACCAGCGGTTAGAACAGCTAGATTTGGCCCGAGGCTGAAGGTCGGGACACATTTCTCTCAAAGGACGCAGCATTGGAACCAGATCTTGTTTATAATGCAGGAGAAAAACCAAGTGAACAGAACATATAATCATGTTTGATCACTCAAYTCCTCAGCTGCTGTCTCTGTAAGAGCTCACATTGGACAGAACATATGTTACTTCTCCAAAGTGAAGGAGGAAACGGGTCAAAAAAGGCCAAAACTACAAAAACATTTATCCAACACTAAGACCTCTTTAGCACTATGTCCTCCATAAACGGTTGCAGCAAATTTTGGAAAATCTCCATCAGAGGCCRTCACCATCTTCAGATTTTTACACAATTTTCTGTTTCTTCAAAACACTCTCACCAAGATTTGAACTAAATGCAACTCTCAGACCCCATTAGGACACGACAGAAACGTGGCTGTTTTAGGTCTACTCTACGATGACCAGGACCCATCACTGAGGAACGTGCAGAGMGCCTGCAGCAGCTCAGTGTTTGTGTGAGTGGGAGGGTAACATGAGGGTCTCAGTGACAGTAACCCTGTTATCTGTGCAGTTTGTGTCGAACACAAAGAGTCTCTGTTTGCCTCGGTGTTTGGTTCAGACCCAGGCCGGCCGACCGGCGGGGTCGCTTCTTCTTCTGCAACCTTTAGAAAAGACACTTCAGCTGCACCGCATTCAACTTCTGTCCAAATTTAAGACTTTTAAAGACATTTTTAATGCCACCTTGAATGAAATTTAAAACTGAAAAAACTATAAATATAACTATGAGTGACGGTTGTGGGATTCTGCTGTATTACAACCGAGCCACGCACTCAACGTTGAATATAAAGATAATCAGCTCTCTGGTGGTTTTGAACCAGTTTTACCTTTATACAAAAAAAGTTGGTAACCCTTTCTTTTACCATGCAATTACCTAGTATTTACATAGTAACTAACATTTTACTATGCAATTACTTGGTTATTACAGTAATTTACTATGTAATTACTTGTTAAGAACATATAAAAATCCTATGTAATTAAACAAATTTAGAGGGTCATTTTATTACAATGACAAATTAATAGTATCTCAATTTTCCATTATTTGCCAACAGATTACCAACTTTATTTTTAGTAATCTAATTACCAGGTCATTAAAAAGTAAATACTTCGTAAATTACTATGTAATTAAACTATTTTACTGATCATTATAATAAAATTACGGTTTAATCACAATTAGTTACACAAAATTTACCAACAGATTACTAAATGTCTACAGATTATGCATATCAATATTCCCTATGTAATTACCAAATAAGTACTTAGTAAATTATAGTACATAATTATGTTAGTAAAACTACTTTTAATGGGTAACTGCAACTGAATTACTGTTCAATAGTACATCAATTACATATTAACCAAAATAYCACTAAATTCCCACATATTATATATAGTGTACTACGTAATTACAGATCATTAGTGGGTTATTGCAATGAAATAATGCCTGTAGAAATAAATTTGGTAATTTTTTGGCAAATAGTGAGTAAATGAGATACTATTGAACTGTAATAAAATTTCCCACTAAATTTTGTTTAATCACATAGTACTTGTATGTGTTCTTACCAAGTAATTACATCATAAATAGCTGTAATTGCATGTTTCAATTGTTATTTACCATGTAAATACTAAGTAACTGCATGGTAATTAGGGGACTGTAAAAGAAAGGGTTACCAAAAAGTTATCCAACCAGTTTACACTTCAACCTGCACCATTAAAGTCCAACACATTTCTGAAGTTAGAGAGGTTTTTAACAACTTTTCTGTGGTTTACTTTTAATATTAGTAGTTTGAACTGAGGGATTGTCTGTTATATTTGAAACATTACAGCACTGAGCAGCCAGACAACTTTAATCGCTTCTGCCCRACAAAATTTAAGACCTTGGMTTTGAGTAACGCATTTMAGACCAAACTGCGTGTTTTTWWWWAAACAAATTTAAGACTTTAGGTCTTAATTTTAGATACATGAATTTAAGACTTTCTAAGGACCCGCAGACACCCGGTATATGAGTTGGATCCATCCAATATGACGCAGCAAGATTAAATCTTTCAGTTTTGATTTCAGAAACYGAAACGTTTACATTCCCGCATTTCTGCTTCCATCTTTGCACAAATGTCTAAATATTTWGAATTCATTAAGTTATCAGTGAAACACTCCGTTTGCTGCACCTGTTTTCCACCAGCAGCTCTCCTGTGCTGGGACTGGGAATAAAAAAAAAAACTGAGGATTAAATCAGAACAGTCTGCAGCTGAGCGTGTCCAAACATGGGTTCTCACACAAATCACTGAGGAAGCAGGAAGTTTCTGYAACTTACCGGAATAAAACTCAACATCAAACTCCTCCTGATCCACAGGGAGGGAAAATAAAGATTTAAAGCTGAAATAAAATAAAAAACAAACCCAWTTAAAAAAGGAAAAAAGGTTGTGACTCAAATTAAATGTGTAAATGACACAGCGCCTCCTGGTGGCTGAAACCTTGTTTTACACCTTTAGATGGTAAACAGGTCATGTGACTTCAATGAACTTAAAGCAAAAATGACCAAATGTTCACACAGTTTCAATTAACTGCAGACATTATTTATTATTAGAAAACATTCATTCGTTTTTGAGAAATAAACTTCCAGGCCTGTATTTAAATATATATTCACCAGAAGTCTATGAAGTAGTTGAAAAAGTAAGTAAAAGTAAAATTACATGAACAGAAAGTGACTTTGGTAAAAATAAATCTCACTGACGAGAAAACTACTCAAGCAAAAGYCATRAAACTTCACAAAAATTGGCAAAGTAAAAGTACTTTTACACACTCTAAGAAATAAACTGTTGAATTTACTGAACCAAACTGGTCCCACTAAAACCAGTTGACCTGACTTTGAGTAAATTCAACTCTTCATTTTTTAGAGCAGAAACATCTTTCATGATGAGTTCAAACAGTTTTAATTTTGTAACAAGTAACTAGGTGTTACATTTTAAAATGAAGAAGTAAAAGTATCGTTTTTAGCTGTAAAACCTAAGGAAATAAAAGTAAAAGTAGCTATTTTAAAAAATACTTGGTAAAATTACAAATCCTCGAAAAAAACTACTTAAATACTGTAACAAAGTAAACGTTTTTAGTTACTGTAAACCTCTGATATTTATGTGTGTTTGTCAGTTAATAGGATCAACATGTTTTGTTGTGAAAACTAAAAATATATATAATCAGCAGATGGTCCCTACAGAGGAGAGGATTTTTTACCTCTAAACCAGGGGTGGGCAATCCTGGTCCTGGAGGGCCACAGCCCTGCATGTTTTATGTTTTTCCTGCTCCAACACACCTGATTCAG